TATTACAAACATGTATAAATACACTAATAGACATAAATCACTCTTAATATTAATCTAAAATCATCCCGTAGCAAATGTAAGCCTAAAGTCCATAATTACTCTTCAACATTAAAATAATAACAAACTATCATCCTGATGATCTCAAATTTAATCCCAATAATCTAGGTACTAAGATACTGATACTAAATATAAGTCTAATAAATCTAATAACCTCCCATCAATTATTCTCTTTAAAATAAATATAATACTCTAAAATCAAATTATCATAATGTCTATAATAACCCACATAATATTAATAATATCAATTCATATAAAATAAAATATTTTTTTTTAAATAATATATTCTATTAAATATTAAAATGTAAATATCAATAAAAAAATCGCTTTCTGCTCAGTATATTAGAGATTAGAAATAAGAGTTTTAATCCAGATGTACATTTAAACCATGTGGCCTTAACGTATGGAGCTCAAATATCCAAAGTCTCATTTTGAGAGATAGCTTTCACTTTTTCCCCACCTCTCCAATGAGCTTCAGTTCTATCAATGTCGCAAAATTTAAGGACACTAGGGTCACAATCATGATCCCTAAAGTGTCTCGAAAGGCAGTGATCCTTTTTTTCCCTCTTCTAACGTTCGCTAAATCTAATCTGTAATTGCCTGGATGTTCTACCCACATACTGGAGTCGGCAAGGACATTCCAGTAGATAAGTCACATATTGGGTAGAGCAGGTAATAAACTTCTTGATCTTATAGTTGTTGCCTGTATTACATGACATAAATTCAGATATCAATTTATTCTTAATATTGGTGACCTTACATATTCTACATTTTTTTTTTACATGGATAGAACCCTTTTAGATCAAACATGTAATTTACTACGGTTAGGGGGGGATATAATACTTTTAACTAAAATATTAAATTATTCGTTTTCCTATAAATGAAGGCTTTTTAGGTAAAACAGGACCCAATACATTGTCCTTCCTCAGTAAAGGCCAGTATTTAAAAAAGATAAATTCCATATTTTTGTACTGACAGTTAAAACCCAAGATAAAAGCATATTCCACCTGATTGGCTTTATTCTTCCTAGGAACCATTTTCATTTTCTTTTCTCCTATATAATTGTTACTAACTTTATACCTAATACGCTCTAATGCCTCAGGTCATATCCTTTTTGTATCAATCGATTTTTTTTTTATTAGCGTTGGTTTTTGCGGTTTTTTTTTATCACATTCGTTTATTTAGTGTGTATTATTTAAAGGGTTATCAAAGATAATGCACTGTGATTTTTCTTTTCTTTTTCAGGTTTCCTTTTGGCCATAGGAGCCATTTGGAAGGCTTGATATGAAGATTGTGGTTTGGAATTGTTCACTGAGTGACTATATATATTTTTTGGAAGGACATTATTATATCTTTGGACGTTTTTTCTTGTTGATAGTTTGATTTTGATTTTCTTGTTGTAGTTTGATTTATTATATGAATTTTTGTGATATAATTGGGGATTTATATATTTAGAAGTATTAGCATATTTATATTTATAGATTATTACACTTTTGGGGTAAAGTGCACTTATATGCTATAAGGGAGTTTTTTTGGATTAGCTACTTGAGGGGATACCATAATTTATATTTATTAGGTGAGACATCATGCTGCATCATTAAAAGAGTAGAAATTACTCTCCATTAGCTTCTTCCCTGGCCAGAGAAAGTTATAGCAGAAACCGGAAGTGACATTTTACATGTTGCTTTCAGGTTCTTAGTAGGAAGGGGAGATCAGTGAACAAGCGTTTGCTGATCTCCCTCCCCTCTACCAGGCAGCATCCACCATGCCAGTCCCAGGTCCGCCCCCCAATGTTGCCAGGGTGTGTGTAACAGATGCTGTGGCTATATGACCACCAGATCTCTTCCATCTGACAGGTAATGGTCAGCTTGTCAGATCCACATGCATTGCCAGGAGTGTGTCTGTGTAGAAACCCCCCCTCCCCCCACACTGCTGCTAAGTTCAGCCTTGTTAGGCAAATCCATCAAAATTTGCTAGTGCTTATAGCCCTGTCTCTAGATTGACAATGTTCTCTATCTCTAAATCCTTCTCCCTAGGTTGACAATACTGCTGTCCAAAAGTGTCTCATGTTCATGAAGAGTGGAGCCAAAAAACCCTAACCCCCCCCCCCCCCCCCCCCCACTGGCCAACTAAATTCTACCATTATAACCAAAAATGTTGCAGCAGTGTTAACTCGCCTAGCTGAGTTTGACAGACAGCACTTCGATCTACAATGCCTCTTACAAACTATGCACTGAACTGGATCCCCACCTATCTTCAATCCCACTGAACTTTTTTCTGTTATGATTCCTCTTCACCCACAATATAAAATTCTCCTGTCTTGTGCACCTCCTCATTTTAGTTTGTGGGATTTTCTAATCAAGCCCGACAAGATCTCTTCCTTTACAGGACCCTTGACCCCCATACTGGGGAATCTTGAATTTCCACCAGGCCTTACCCCCAATTCTTATTTAAAAGGGTGAACTTTGTCATTCGTGTCTAAGCCACGCTCTTGACAACAAAGACCTAAAACTATAGTCCACCCTTACTAGAAGACTGCAACGGTCCTCAGGGAACTGGATATTATACTGTATTTCCGACTTTCAGACTTTTATGATGACTGCAGAAATCAAGGTATCAACCACAAGGATCTCACCTCCCTGGAGTCTGTTTGCTTGCAGATTTCAGGGCTCTATCTGCCCAGTCCCTACCCTTTGCAAACTAGCTCTCTTCCTTAGTCTCTCATATAGTTTCGAGGATGTATATGAGAAAGTATTAGTTTGCACCTTCACACCGAGACAAAACTAAATGCTAGCTCATATAGTATAGGCAAGAGGAAAACGAGCAAGATGGTACTAATGTCTTTTTTGTTAGATAAAATTAACACCCCTGATATCTGCTGTCAATGTCCTAACCACACTGGCACAACACCTTACTCTTGGTGCTCCCCCTGGTTTCCAATCGACAAAAAAGAAATGGCCTCCTACACTTCATCTCATAGCAGAAGAGCATTCATCCTTCGACATTGAAAAAACACACACAACAGCTCTAACCATGCTCTAAAGGATAAACCTCTTGATGAATGGAAGAGCTTGCGGCCCAACTATGACAGATATCCACAAATCTCCTGGACCCCCTGGATTCTCTTCTGGAATAATACTTGCAAACTCTACCTACACCATGAAATGTACCACTTTTACTTAAACTACAATGTTATACAAAAAATTGTAACACTATTGTTTTGCTGTTTTGTTGGTTTTTCTAGGTTGACTACTACTGACTACTACTGTATATAGTATTTCGTTATTCGGGAACTGGACCATTGTATTATTTCTATGTCATTTTCTGCTTTGTATTTTTTGTACTTTGCTGTCCAAATTGTAAAACTCAATAAATATTATTATAATAAAAAAAAATTATGGGGTTTAGATCTGCTTTACTGCCAGATTAAAGAATAGTCCTCCCCCAATTTACACACGAAAGGTTTTGTATTAAGTGTGTGGCCAAGCCGTGTGATCTGTTTCCAGCACTTTTTTTCAGTACTGTATGCCCAGGCTATCAGATTTAGATTATTCTGTGTGAAAGAACCATTCATTATAAAGGTTCTGAAAAGATTTTTCATCTGAAGTGATATAATCATAATGTGTGTGCGGGGGGCTTTCACCTCTGTGAACACCATCTGTTTCTTGCATTCCCTCCAGAAAAATAGTACAGGGTGGTCCGCAGTGATCATATTGACTTGCCAAAGAATTAGTATTTGTATTATCCACGTACTGATTATATTTTGCAAGTGTTGCATGAGAATTTAGTTTTGCTTTCAAAAATGTTTTTATTATTGCTGCCTATTAGCTCCCCATTTATAGCTTATTGCAGAGTTATTTTCTAATTAGTTTGGAGAGGGCAGAGGTTGGACATCCTTCACCAATTTTGACCTATTATAATTTCTGGGACCCCGGGTTTATCACTCAGCCACATTTTTACCATGCTTTGGGTAGACTCATTCTCTAATTTAGTCATCATGTTGCCTGTTTTTGCTTCACCTGTCATGTATTGCTACTAACTTTTTTTTCCTTCAACAAGCCATTGTAATGGGGAGAGGAAAATGCTGCTGATGGTTATTGTTGGTTATTATGCACGTTGTGTTGCCTTTGATGGGACATAAAGGTAATGTATAATTATGTATGTCACTTCCTAACCGTGGCATTTCTAGGAAAAGATCCTGAAAGGAGGAAGTGGAGAGAGAGAAGGTCTCAGCCACATGTCCTGTCTAGGCTACTAATACCAGATCAGAAGAGAGGATTATTGCCAGATAACTAGGACCAGCCTGGTTGGGAACATTACCACAGATCTTGTCTTCAGGTCTCCAACACAAAGACAGATGCCACATCCTCTTCAGAGGTCCCTGCAACAGGACTTTGCTGCAACATGCTTCTGGAGATGTCTCTGTTAATAACTGTATATACCTGGTTATATGTGCACAATTGCACCAGGACTACTTTAGGACCCTTTGCTGTGAGCGTATTGTATATGCATTGGATGTATGTACAATTATTAATCTTTTCTTATATAAAGCTTGTATATCTATACTGGAATGCATCTATACACTTATGTTCAATGTTATATGCTGGTGGTCTTCTTCCAATTACTTTGACTAGATTAGTTGTCAATTTCCCTGGAAGGGAACCCCCTCTGTTCAGAGGCCCTGTGCTGGGTGGGGGTACCACAAACTTTTTTTTTTTTTTTTTTTTTTTTTTAAATCCCACTCCTCCATTTAGTGAAGGTTCTGGTTCTCTTTACCTACAGATTTAGCGCAATATCCTGTTCGGGGAGGGAAATTTCTTGTATCCCTCAATAAGAGTGGAAACATGCTTTGCTGTGGTGCCATTCAATGTTTGGTGCTTTAGGCAGCCTGTTCAAGTAAATGGGCTACCCTGAATGAGAATTCCAGGTTTACTTTCACTTTAACCTCCCTGGCGGTATTTCCAAGTGTAGCTCGGGGTAAAGTTTCAGTACCACAAGCGGTAACCCCGAGCTACACTCGGGCTTACCATGCAGCGTTGCTCCAGGATCTGTTCTTCACTTACCTTGTCCTGCGCTCCGCGATGTCCCCGGCAATATCCTCCGGCGGATACCGGCATCTGTCATCTGGGTTCCGTCCCCTGCGACGTCAGGACGTACAGGGGACAGAACTGGCGGGAAATTTGAAAATGACAAAAAGTGACATTTACTAAAATCACATAGTAAAACATTACTGTATCAAACCATTTCACATACATTTTGTCCCGAGTGCTTTGTCCTGTGCTCTCCCTGCATTTTTACTGTTCTTTCTGCCTGGAAACTGAGAAATGTCCATGGCGTCCAAAAAGCGTCCCTTTAGGTCAAAAGTGGTTTTAGATCAGCTAGAGAACAGCGATAGTAAATCAGAACCACTTGCAGAATTGAGTGATAATGATTCGTGGGGAAATTTGTCATCAGGCACTGAAAACGATTTTGCGACTTTGCTCATTGATGGGCGAACTTAACACTAGATTTCAAAGTGTTTTTGGTTTGATATTATTGAATTAAATTTATTATTTATTATATTATTTTTTATGATTATTAAATTAGAATTGATGATTTCATGTTTCAAATTGTAACATACCCGGGATGTTTACTAGACTCTTGTTCGGACAGTTTTCCGTGAGTTATTCCTAAAAATTACAGGCCTACAAAAAAAAAAATATATTTTTCCATGCAAAAAAAAGTACCGCTTTGAGCACAGAAATATGGACATAATCAGACCGCTAGGGAGGTTAAATAGTTGGCAGCACCACTAAGTTGTATAACATATCCACAATTTAGGAGAATCCCTGTATTTTTTTTCAATGAATAGAAGACCTCCTCTTATTGCCCAAGTTTCAGATCATGACATCTGCCCCCCTCTCCACCTTGGCCAGTCAGAGGAAACCTTGTATTCATTGATAAAAAATAAGGCTTTCTCTGCTAAGACTGACCCTCTCTATATCTGGCACCAGAGAAGAGGTATCTCTGGAACTCAGCATGGCTTACTAACTAATGCAACTGCAGACTATTACACCTGCCCCAGCGGTCAGACCATTTTGGCATGGAAATCATTTGTATAGGCTAATTTTGCTCAAATTAACTTTTCAAAGTGAAAGTAAACCTGGAATTATCTTTTTAATACAATGCATGTTAACACATTTTACCACAGCACAATAGTGTGATCCCAGCATGCAGTGTATCTAAAGCCAAAATATTTACCATCTCAATTCGTCCTGATGACCAATGGCAGGCTAGAAAGGGAGGGGAAATTAAAGTTTTACAGTTGACATCTGTCAGAATGTCCAAATGTTAATTTAACAGAGCACACATCATACAGCCATAGGCCAGAACATCAACGGGTGCTGTGGGGAAATGGAATATTTGTTGGTAATGTCAAATACACTATATTGCAAAAAGTATTGGGACTCCTGCCTTTACACGCACATGAACTTTAATGGCATCCCAGTCTTAGTCCGTAGGGTTCAATATTGAGTTGGCCCACCCTTTGCAGCTATAACAGCTTCAGCTCTTCTGGGAAGGCTGTCCACAAGGTTTAGGAGCGTGTCTATGGGAATGTTTGACCATTCTTCCAGAAGCACATTTGTGAGGTCAGGTACTGATGTCGGACGAGAAGGCCTGGCTCGCAGTCTCCACTCTAATTCATCCCAAAGGGTTGAGGTCAGGACTCTGTGCAGGCCAGTCAAGTTCCTCCACCCCAGACTCACTCATCCATGTCTTTTATGGACCTTGCTTTGTGCAATAGTGCTCAGTAATGTTGGAACAGGAAGGGGCCATCCCCAAATTTGGGAGCATGAAATTGTCCATAATGTCTTGGTATGTTGACGCCTTAAGAGTTCCCTTCACTGGAACTAAGGGGCCAAGCCCAACCCCTGAAAAACAACCCCACACCATAATCCCCCATCCACCAAACTTTCCACTTGGCCCAATACAGTCAGGCAATTACCATTCTCCTGGCAACCGCCAAAGCCAGACACCTCCATCAGATTGACAGACAGAGAAGCGTGATTCGTCACGCCAGAGAACACGTTTCCACTGCTCTAGAGTCCAGTGGCGGTGTGCTTTGCACCACTGCATCCGATGCTTTACATTGCATTTGGTGATGTAAGGCTTGGATGCAGATGCTCGGCTATGGAAACCCATTCCATGAAGCTCTCTATGCACTGTTGTTATTCTAATCTGAAAGCCACACAAAGTTTGTAGGCCTTTAGCTATTGACTGCAGCCAGTTGGTGACTTCTGTGCACTGTGCACTTCAGCATGCGCTGACCTCGCTCTGTCATTTTACATGGCCTACCACTTTGTGGCTGAGTTTCTGTTCCCAGTTGCTTCCACTTTGTAATAATACCACTAACAGTTGACTGTAGAATATTTAGAAGCAAGGAAATTTCACGGATGGACTTATTGCAGAGGTGGAAACCTATCACAGTATCAGGCTTGAATTCACTGAGCTCCTGAGAGCGACCCATTATTTCACAAATGTTTGTAGAAGCAGTCTGCATGCCTCGGTGCTTGATTTTATACATCTGTGGCCATGGAGGTCATTGGAGGTGTATCCCAATACTTTTGGCAATATAGTGTAAGAAGTTTAAACAGTAAGGTCTTGTTAACATGGGTAGCTAGGGGGCAGTAAAACAGACTGTTGAACTGCTGTTTTATGGCCCCTTCCCCCATACCAAGAGAAGAATATGTAGTCACTTAGGGCTGTACACATGCTTTGCTTCACATCCACGTAAAAAATTAAACTGCCTGTTGCCTTCATTAGGCAGTACCACTACTAAGGCTAGGTTCACACCTATGCAGGTTGCGTTTGAGCCGTTTCTGCATTCCATGTTGCTTTTTTTTCTGCATTTTTTTAATGCTTTTTGCGGTTTTTTGTTTTTTTTAAATTTTTTAAAATTCTTGTTGCTAGGCAGATTTAAAACGCATAAAAAATGCACTACATGCTTTTCTGCAATGTTTCTATTGAAGTCTATAAAACCAAAAACGCAACTTTTTGCGTTCAAAAAGGTCCCTGACCCTTTCCAAAAAAACACACCAGGTTAAAACGCGGAGATGTGAACATGTTCTATAGGGAAATCATTTTAAATGGACTGTACTGCATTTCTGCAATACGCTGTGAAAAATGCTTAGGTGTGAACCTAGGGTAAACACAACTCATTCAAGTGAATGGAACTGTGCCACATCCACCCTGCAACCACTGGCACTGCACGCAGGTGTGGCATGGTGGTTTGGCCTTTTCAGTGTCAACCACCCTCTGAAAAGCGGTCTACCATGGATCACTTTTTAGAGGGATGGCTGTCTAACAAAGCCCAAGATAACACCAGCTCACCATAACTGAAGATCAAAAACAGGACATTTATTCACTAGCAAAAACAAGATGTTTCAGGGCCACTGAGAACCACTTCTCCAGGTAGCAGAGATGTTCTAATAGCCACACCAAGTGTATACAATCCCTTACCGAAAAGCCAAGTTATAGTAACATTTGTCATTTTTATTTAATTTATTGTATTTAAAAATAAACTTTTCTGCTTTACTGCATAGGTGGAGCTCTGTCTTGTACATGTATGGGGCTGACAATGTGTAGTTGCCTCTACTGCATCTCTGTGGCCTCTCAGCCATCCTGGTTATTTGCTAATTGTAGTACATTGCTCCAAATATGTGTGACTGATCACTACTGTATGGTGACTTTCATTCTTCAGCTTTTCCATCAACGAAGGAGTGACACTTCATCCAGCCAACAAGGTGCGACAAAAGGAAGCAGATGAGTATTTCAATCTGAAGATTTTTGTGATCCAGTTACCGCTGATTTGGATTGCTACAATGACATGGTCATGCCTCCATTCACACTTGGGCATAGCTACAATGACATGGTCATGCTTCCATTCACACTTGGGCATAGCGTATGTAGGCAATTTAGAGATGCTTTTTTTTTTTTTTGTATGTTTTACAGGAGTGAAGTGCCATCCAGGGGTTTCTTTGGAGCAGGATCATGCATTTTTGGCTCCATAGACATTTATTATGGGAACGTTTGAAAAATGTGTGCAACGTGTGGTTTTGCAATTTTTTTGCACGCTCCTTTTGGAGTCAATGGGGTCAAAAATGCCCTAAGTGAAGTCTGACAATTTAAAGCATGGGATTTGGTTTGTTGAATATTTTGTAGATTTGAGCTACAAAACACTCAGGTGTGAATGAGGGCTTATGGTGTAGTTGGTAAGAAGAAGCAGAAAACAGGAACAAGTCTGCTAACCCAGTTGGGACCAGTTCTACACACCAGGAACAAGAGACATGGTGCATTTTGTGAATGGCCAAGGGGAGAAGGAGAGTAGAGACACTAGCAGGGATTTCTATAGGACTTGCACCACTGATGTCAATAGTAGGGTGGAAGTATAGAGGGAGACGTATCATTCTGGCCCCCTAAAAGAATTCTTTTAAAGCACTTAGATGAAAGGTTTGGTTTACGTACAGCTGAACTAAACACATAATATTTATACTGAAGGAAATAATTGTGCTCGTGGAGCTTTACTATAAAAGACCCCTTTGAGTGCAGGCAGCCCCAATTCAGTGATTTTATATCGAACACAGTCCTGGCTGGCTTCTCTTCGTGCGTGCCCAAACCCTGTTTATTCCTATGGCTAGCCATAGTCCTGGTGGCCTCCAGTGTTCACTCAGAAAACAGCAATCCCCATAGGAATAAAGACAACCTTGGCACATTTGCGCTGTAATGTGTGTGTGAGTTGGGAAGGTGCGTTGCTGTTTGCATTAATTTGAATGGCACCGCATTACACCAACGCGCATTACTGTAGCATGATGGTGTGAACAGGGCCAAAAGATAAATTTGTCCTTTAACCATTAGCCGTCCGGCCTAAAGCCGTTTGGCGGCCGCAAAAATGCATTAGCTTTCTGGGTTGTACGCCATTTGGCGTCCTCCCACACATGCGCAGTTCGCGCGGTTGCAGAGCCGCGCAGCGGCGCGATCTATCACCGGCTGTGTACCTCGGACACGGCCGATGACAGATCTGAGTACCAGCCCCTGTTGCCGCTACCATGTGACCTGCTGCGACCAATCACAGCAGGTCACATGACAGTTGTATACAATGGATGGCTTCATTCATGCCATCCATTGTATACTAGTGTCTAGCTGTGAATGGTCACAGCAGGTCACATGCACATGTCGTGATTAGCTGTGGCCAAATCACAGCTAAGTACAAAAAAAA